CTTCTCTGCATGTTTTCTAGAACCTCAAACTCTTTTTTGTATCGGGATGACCAGAACTGGATGCAGGATTCCAAGTGTGGCCTTACCAAGGCCTTGTAAAGTGGTATCAACACTTCACGCGATCTTGATTCTATCCCTCTGTTGACGCAGCCTAGAACCGTGTTGGCCTTTTTGGCAGCTGCCCCAACACGGCTGGCTCCTATTTAAGGGATCGTCCAATAGGATGCCGAGATCCCTCTCACCCCTCAAGTGGAGTGAGAGTTATAGTTCGGTTACAGACCGAAAAGGAAGCGAAACCCCTTGGCCGTGAAAGTTCATCCTTGAGGACCAGGGTTGGGTCTTGGGTGCCAGTGACTCTTCCTTGCCCCATTTATGACATCAAAAGCCACTAAAATGAGCTTCAGAGCAGATCCAGGAAGAGCAGCTCAATCATCCGTGGGGCATGTGGGGGGAGATCTGGGTTTGAAGGTGTGTGAATGGGCAGGGCACCGTCTCCACTGCGAGAAGCCATGTTGTGAGGAGCTAGATGCGTAGAGAACGCGTGCCCGATTTGGGAGCTGGGCTTTGGAGGAATCTCTGGACCCCATCCTTTATCGGTGATCTGCTGGGACTGCAACATGATTGCCTTGCCAGCCTTCAGAAGATCCATCCTGTCATGAAGCATCAACTCTGGAAGTAGCCAAAGTAATCTAGGATCCAGGAAGCACTAGAACTCACCGTCTCCTGGTGATTGGCCCAAAGTCACCCAACTGGCTTTCATGCCTAAGGCAGGACTAGAACTCACCATCTCCTGGTGATTGGCCCAAATTCACCCAACTGGCTTTCATGCCTAAGGCAGGACTAGAACTCACCGTCTCCTGGTGATTGGCCCAAAGTCACCCAACTGGCTTTCATGCCTAAGGCGGGACTAGAACTCACCGTCTCCTGGTGATTGGCCCAAAGTCACCCAGTCAGTTTTCGTGCCTAAGGCAGGACTAAAACTCACAGTCTCCTGTTGATTGGGCCAAAGTCATCCAGCCGGCCTTCATGCCTAAGACAGACTAGAATTCACCATCTCCCGGTTTCTAACCTGCTTCCTTAACCGTTGACTTTCTGTAGCCAAAGATATCCTATCCCTACAGCTGGAGGCTTGCTTTTGCCTCCCGGAACACGATGGAGTTATGCTATCTGGAAATGCATGCCTCTCTTTCCAAGCGCAGCCCCATGGAAAGTGTTCAGCGCATACTGGAAGCCCTCTAGATGGGGTCCAGCCAAGGCCTGGAGACCCCTAATGGTCTCTCTGTCTCTGATTGGGCCTTTGATCCCCTGCAGGTGTCCCCACGATGCAGAAGCCGCACCACGTCCAGGGAGCTGGCGATGCCCTGGTCCAACCGGACGTTGCTTCCAAAATGGAGCGCCTGCTGAATATCCTGTTGCTCCTCGCCACTGTCCACTTCCTCCTCCAGACGGCCCTCTACATGTCCTGCCTCTTCTTCATCCTTCCCATGAGTTGCGCCTTCTCCAACGTCATCTCAGGGTAGGTTGGAAGGCCAGCAGATCCCGGATGATCCCCACACAACCTCAGCAACTTTTAAGATGGGTGGACTTCAACTCCCAGAATTCCTGAGCCAGCCATGCTGAGGGGAAAGGGAGAGATTTCCAAGCTGAGCCATGCTGGCTCGGGAATTCTGGGAATTGAAGTCCACGAGTCATAAAGGGGCCTAGGCCTAGGCCAGGGGTGGGCAATCGTGGCTCTTTTATGACTCGTGGACTTCAACTCCCAGAATTCCTGAGCCAGCCACGCTGAGGGGAAAGGGAGAGGTTTCCAAGCTGAGCCATACTGGCTGAGGAATTCTGGGAGTTGAAGTCCACGAGTCATAAAGCGGCCTAGGCCTAGACCAAGAGTAGGCAACCAGTCATAAAAGAGCCAAGGTCTCCAGCTCAAGGACTGGAGGCAAGGAGAGCAGCTTCAAAATGGGTGTGTGTGCATGCGCGCACACGGGGCAGCACACTGGCGTGGCACTAGCAGCTCCATTTGTGCATACAGCATGCGCTGGTGTCGTGTGCATGCGTGAATGACTGCACACCGCATGGCGGCTAGTGGTCTGTTCATGCATACGCAAACGGGTCACACAAACCACCCGGGCTAGCGGTATATGCGCAAATGGGCTGCAGACACCCACCCCGCGCTAGCATCCCTGTTTGCGCCTGCGCGCCTGCACAAACAGGGCCACATGCACTAGCGCGAGTGGGAGGGGAAATGCACGCCCACACGTGCGTGCACCGGCCAGCCGTTTCCTCAGCCCACTGGCCAAGAGCCTGTGGCCCAGTCCCGGGCCATGGACCATAGGTTGGGGACCCCTGGCCCAGAGGGTCTATCCCAGAGGTGGACAATGCCCCATAAGTCTCCACATCACCCAGAACTTTAATGAGGTTTAAGTACCAACTAGACCCTTAGAACTTGAAATACACACAGGTGGTCATGCTTGACTTAAAATCACCTGTTTAGTGTCCGTTCGAAGGGACAACAGCACTGAAGGCAATGATTTACGACCACGTTGTCTCCCCAAATGGGTCAGCCTGTTGCATTCGGGAAAAAGGGTCCCGGCTGCGTAAGCAGCGGAGACTCCGAGCAACAGTTTACCGTGGTCTTTTCTACAGTTGCTTTCCAGAAATAGGGAAGGAACATGTCACAAAACCGTGTGACCAAGAAGCGTAAAACAACAAATGTCTCACTTAACAAAATAAATGTTGGGCTCAATTGTGCTAGTGAGTCCAGGACTACTGCTGCCTTGATTTCTGCAGAACCGTCTTTGCTTCCTGTCTTAGATGTACCCAAGTTCCAAAGTTGGCCATCAGAAGTATGGGGGACCTCCATCTAAAAACTCCTCATTTCCATCATATCCTGTAACTTTGAAGCTTGCAGGCTCCACACAACTTCTTGTTTCCATTCTAGGGGGACCATCATAGGTCCCAATTGGCCATCAAAATTATGGGGGACCTCCATCTAAAAACTCCTCATTTCCATCATATCCTGTAACTTTTGAGCTTGTAGGCTCCATACAACCTCTTGTTTCCATTCTAAGGGGAACATCATGCCTCCCAATTGGCCATCAAAATTATGGGGGACCTCCATCTAAAAACTCCTCATTTCCACCATATCCTTTAACTTGGAAGCTTACAGGCTCCACACAACTTCTTGTTTCCATTCTAGGGGGACCATCATAGGTCCCAACTGGCCATCAAAATTATGGGGGACCTCCATCTAAAAACTCCTCATTTCCATCATATCCTGTAACTTTTGAGCTTGTAGGCTCCATACAATCTCTTGTTTCCATTCTAAAGGGAACATCATGCCTCCCAATTGGCCATCAAAATTATGGGGGACCTCCATCTAAAAACTCCTCATTTCCATCATATCCTGTAACTTTTGAGCTTGTAGGCTCCATACAACCTCTTGTTTCCATTCTAAGGGGAACATCATGCCTCCCAATTGGCCATCAAAATTATGGGGGACCTCCATCTAAAAACTCCTCATTTCCATCATATCCTTTAACTTGGAAGCTTACAGGCTCCACACAACTTCTTGTTTCCATTCTAGGGGGACCATCATAGGTCCCAATTGGCCATCAAAATTATGGGGGACCTCCATCTAAAAACTCCTCATTTCCATCATATCCTGTAACTTTTGAGCTTGTAGGCTCCATACAACCTCTTGTTTCCATTCTAAGGGGAACATCATGCCTCCCAATTGGCCATCAAAATTATGGGGGACCTCTATTTAAAAACCTCCTCCTTTCCACTATATCCTGTAACTGTTGAGCTTGTAGGCTCCACCCAACCTCTCGTTTCCATTCTAGGGGGACCATCCCGGCTCCCAATTCTTCTGGCCACCTGCAAGTAGGACATCACTTGAGTCAAGGGGCTGGAGAGAACCCTCAACCCGCAGCCGTCCTCCCTTATCTCCAGGGGATCGAGGACATCCTCATCTCCGTGGCGATGGTTTACTTCCTGGTCCGTGCCGGGCTCATCTTCTGTAACCTCGTTTTTATCCTGCCCCTCGTCTTTTTCCTTAAGGATCTCGGTTGCCCTTGAGAAGCAACCATGAATAAAAAGGAGAACTCTGGAAAAACTCAAGGCAGGTGTTACGATCTCTGTTTAGGCACAACGCAGGACCCCCGGACCTTAACCCTGCGGGAGGTTGAAGGAGAATGAAAAAGCAAGGAGGACAACTCCTCAGAGAAGGGTGCTAAACCTGGACCTTTAAGATGTGCGGAAAAAAGACTGTGGACTCCTTGGTGCTCTCTGAGCTGGGTGGTTTTCTTGCAGACATTTCATGACCCAACTAGGGAACATCATCAATGCTAGAAGGGAGAGGGATTGAAGAGAAGGAAGAGGCAGAGGAGGAGGAGGAGGAGGAGGAGGAGGAGGAGGAGGAGGAGGAGGAGGAAGCCTATGGGGTCCTTGGTGCTTTCTGAGCTTGCAGACGTTTCATGACCCAACTAGGGAACACCATCAGTGCTAGTAAGGAGTGGCGTTTGCTCTCAGTTCATATTTTAGTGGGGCGAGCTACTAAAACAGGGGTCTCCTAATTTAGCAACTTGTCAACTTCAGCTCCCAGAATTCCTTAGTCAGCCACGTGGCTGGGGAATTCTGGGGATTGAAGTCCACAAGTCTTACAGTGGCCAAGTCTGGAGACCCTTGCAGTAGACCAATGTTTCCCAAACTTGACAATTTTAAGGCATGTGGACTTCAACTCCCAGAATTCCACAGCCAGCGTTGCTGGCTGTGGAATTCTGGGAGTTGAAGTCCTCATGCCTTAAAATTGTCAAGTTTGGGAAACACTGCAATAGACTATTGTCTTCTGTAGTCCACCAGTTCGTTCTCACCTCTGGGATAGGTTGAGCAAAACAAGCCAGGCTTCTATCTCTGGGACTGGAGCTGTCAATGGAAGAGAAGGTTCCACTTGATTGGTCAGTGACCTCAGAGATGGGCGGGGGCTTCACTCTCTGCTTCACAATGGAGCTTTTCCGAGAGGCTGGGAAGTGGAAGATGGACCCATTGATGATCCGCAGATCAGCTGGAGGGAGCTTTGGCTCCCGCCAGCTTCCAGCTGCTCCATTTTTCAGGTGAGATTTGGGCCTGCTTCTGGAGAGGTCTGGAGCCCACCAGTCAAAGGTTAAAATGTCTGAGGGGCTGCCCCAAAGAACTGGGGGGGGGTTGTCAAGCTCTTCTCCAAAGATCCTGAAAGCCGGATAAGAAGCAACGGATGGAAACCCATCAAGGAGAGAAGCAACCTGGAACTAAGGAGGAATTTCCTGACAGTGAGAACAATCGGCCAGTGGAACATCTTGCCTCCAGAAATTCTGGATGCTCCAACACTGGAGGTTTTAAAGAAGAAACTGGGCAGCCATTTGAAATGGTATAGCAGAGGGTTGGACTAGAAGACCTCCAAGTTCCCTTCCAACTCTGTTGTTCTGTTATTTCAGTCAAATTTAGGCTATGGGTCAACCCTTGAGATCTTAGGAGATGCTCAGCAAGAGACTTGATTCACACCACAGACCGAACCAGGTCAGATAAAGCTGTGAAGACTACATTCACACAGTGTGGTAAGTTATTCCTAGATCAGGGATTTGTTTTCAATGAGTTAGTTGCTCTGTTTAGATGCAGCTCTTGATTTGGCTACAATAGTCATCCACATTCTTGGTACGTACAGTACATAAATTAACCCTACAGGCTTGGTTGACCCACCCTATTTTTTTTATATCCATATCTTGCCAAAGGTAACATTAACTAAGCTTAGAATGTTGGTTTGTTTCTGATAACATCCATCCATCCATCCAGCATTCATCCATCAATTTATCTATCCATCCATCCGCCCACCCATCCATCCAGCCATCCAATTTATCCATCCATCCATCCATCCATCCATCCATCCATCCATCCATCCATCAATCCAGCCAGCCAGCAATTCATTCACCCATCAATTTATCCATTCATATATCAATTCATCCACCCATCCATCCATCAAGCCATCCATGCATCCATGCATCTATCCGTCCATCCATACATCAATTCATTCACCCATCAATTTATCCATCCATCCATCAATTCATCCATCTATCCAGCAATTAATTCACTCATCAATTTATCCATCCATCCATCCATCCATCAATCTATCCATCCATCCATCTATCCATCCATTCATCAATTTATCCATCCATCCATCCATCCATTCATCAATTCATCCATCCATCCATCCATTCATCAATTCATCCATCCATCAATTCATCCATCCATCCATCCATCCATTTATCCATCCATCCATCAATCCATCCATCCATCAATCCATCCATCCATTCATCCATCCATTCATCATTATCCATCCATCCATCAATCCATCCATTCATCTATCCACCCATTCATCCATCCATCCATTCATCAATTTATCCATCCATCTATCCATCCCTCCATCAATCCATCCATTCATATAACCATCCATCAATCCATCCATCCATCCATCCATCCATCCATCCATCCATCCATCAATTCATCCACCCATCAATTCATCCATCCATTTATCCATCCCTCCTTCCCTCCATCCAGCAATTCATCCATCCATCCATCCATCCATTTATCTTTTCCAGGGAAGGTCCTGCTTGATGACGCGCAATGCTCTGGTCCATCTTAGGAAGACGGAAGCAACAGCATGTGGGAGACGTTAACGGCGAGTTTCAACTTCTGCCTTCTGATCTGGTCCGTCTACTACTTCTTGGGGAATGAGATGGTCCACGAGCAGTTCTGCGTGAACTTCGGGATGGATCCCCAGGCCTTCCCTTTCGTGGATTTGATCCGCATCAGTTCCCACCTGAGACTCCACATCTACTACTTCCTCCTCTCAGCGTTGCTGCTGATGGTCATCTCGGCTGTCGTCTCCTGGGTCTAGGAAGCCAAGTCCTAAGATGCTGGTGCAGAGGTAGGCAACCTTGGCTCTTTTATGACTCGTGGACGTCAACTCCCAGAATTCCTGAGCCAGCATGGCTGGCTCAGGAATTCTGGGAATTGACGTCCACGAGTCATAAAAGAGCCAAGGTTGCCTACTCCTGTGCTAGTAGAACATCAGGACCACTCAGGGACACCAATTGAAGTTCTGGACTTGCGCCACATGTGCTAATAAAATCACCTGACACTTACACGGTCACCTCCCCCTTCCCCCTGGTTTAAATTTGATGCTTCACATTTTTTCAGATTAAAAAAAAAAAGTGACCAGATCCGGTCCTCAAAACATAAATGGTATTTACACTACGGAGGAAAAAAAAAAACAACAACCCACCATTAAATCAGAAAGAAAGCTGAATACGGGGATTAAAATACAGAGAGGACGATTACTCAGCAGAACAACTTGCCTCCAGACGTTGTGGGCGCTCCCTCATCGGAGGCCTTTAAGAACAGATTGGAGAACCATTGGCAGCGGGTTGGACTAGATGACCGCCAAGATCCCTCCCAACTCTCTGCTCTTCTGCTCTTCTGAACCACCGCCTGACCTCACCCAAACACGGGGGTGCCCAAACTTAGAGACGCTGCCCCTTTCCAAGAAATCCAGCCCGGGACTTCATCTTCCAAGATGGGGCTCTATTCAATGAAGGCTCGTCATAGGGGGTCATTGCAGCGGAACTGTAGGGCCAACACCTCCCTCATCCACTGCAGGCAGAAGAGGAGAAGCAGGGCAGAGAGCAAGAACTGGAAGATGAGCAGTGCCGATGGGACGAGGGTGCTGAAGAAGACCTGGAGGGCCGCCCAAAAGAGGGTGGTGCAGAGCAAGGCCACGTAGGCCGTGAACGCACAAAGCCCCAGGAACACGATGAGGCTCAGGAACATCTTGAGGCCACTAAGAAGGGTCCCCAGAAACCCACCATCATTTCTCGGTGTTGTCTCGGCTTGGCTACCAGAAGATGACCGGAACGGGGACAATGGTGTTGATGGTGGTAGAGATGTCTCCAGGCAATCCATGGCGGTGGCCCTGGAGAAGAACAGAAGTGGGTCCAGATGGCCATCACAATGTGGCGACGGAAGCTCAGGAGACGCAACCTGATGGACTTTCCTTGCCCGACAACTCCAGGAGGACGGCACTGTTTGTCAACCTCGGCGACTTTAAGATGGGTGGACTACAACTCCCAGAATTCCTCAACCAGCATGGAGAAACAGATCTTAGGCCAGGCTGGCTGAGGAATTCTGGGAGTTGAAGTCCACCCAACTAAAAGTTGCTGAGGTTGAGGAACGGGTCTTGGGCCAGGCTGGCTGAGGAATTCTGGAAGTTGAAGTCCACCCAACTTAAAGTTGTTGAAGATGAAGAATATTGCTGTAGAACAGGGCTTTTCAACCTTTTCACCCACTGTATCACTTTTCGGATATGGCAATATTCGAGTACCACCAGTCGGCTAGCAAGGTGTCAAAAACTTGATGAACCCCCCAAAAAAGGAAAAAAGTAATGAAGTAGTCCTCGACTTACAACAGTTCACTTAGTGACTGTTCGAAGTTACAATGGCACTGAAAAAAGTGCCCCCCAAGGCACAGCCAAGCAAGACACCTGTCTGCCCGCCCGGTGGCGTTCTTTCTCCTGTCCGAGGTTTTCATTGTTGTGAGCATTTCTGTTGAGGATTGGCAGCTGGGGTGGGATGGGGGGTGTTTGGTTTTTATTTCCCCCTGTCTGCTGGGTGGTTGCAGCAGGTTTTGGTCCCTTCACATGACCCTGGGATGATGTGACCGTCATAAATATGAATCAGTAGCCACGCATCTGAATGTAAATCACAAGACCCTGGAGAGGCTGCAACATTCCAGCTGATCGGCGCTTCTTCTGGGCTCAGCAGAAGCGCCAGGATCAGCGCCGAGCTCCAGCTGGAGCCTGGCGCTGATCCTGGCGCTTCTGCTTAGCCCTGACAGTCCCGAAGAAGCGCTGATCCTGGGGCTTCCGCTGAGCCCTGATATCCCCGAAGAAGCGCCGATCAGCTGGAAAGCGGCACTGATCCTGGGGCTTCTGCTGAGCCCTGACAGCCCTGCAGCTCCAGCCGTCTCTCGCTCAGGCTTGTGCGGTGCTGCCACCGGTTCAGCTCATTCCCCTCCCCTGCTACCCCTTTTCTAGGATGGTCGCGTACCGCCTGCCAGGTGCCCATGTACCACAGGTGGTACCCGTACCACTGGTTGAAAAGCCCTGCTGTAGAAAACCACACCTTTTCCCTAATGGAACACGTGAAACTCACCATCCCTGCCCTTCTGCCCAGCCAGGGGTCTAATTTCTTGCAAACTGGGATTTGAGCTTTTACACCAATTCCAATCCTCCAGGGATATCCAGGTCCACGAAAGCATGACTGGTTGTGTGTGTGTGTGTATGTGTGTGTGTGTGTGTGATGTGCCCGACAAGCACACCTCCTGGAGAGGAGCAAGCTTTTTAGCCACAAACGACAAACCATCCCTTCAATAATTCGACGGAGACCGTCGAGCTGAACATTGGCAATGAAGTTCAAACAAGCCCCAACCGACATTTTGATGAAAATGTTCTGGGGGGTCCCTAAAAAGCAGCCGAGAACCATCATACCTGGTTGAGTTGACCTCGGACAATCTACCTTTCCTAGTTTAGCATTTGATGTTTTCTCGGCGTCCGACTTTGGGCTAGAACCCTGGATCCATTTACTGGGTGAGGTGTCTCCCCTTCCCCGTCCCAGCCAGAGGGGACCATCTAGCTTAAAAGGACCTCAGCTTCACCAATGATGTCACAAAACCAGCTGGGAGCAATGGTTGAGCTACAGGTCAAGTTGTTGTTGTTGATTGCAGGCGGGGGGGGGGAGGTGAATGGTCAGATTGCAAAACAACAACAACAAAACAAAACAGGAAAAGACTTGACTATTTTCATTTCATGGGAAACACGCCGGAGAGCAGCCCTAATGAAAATGCTTGGAATCCTGCATCCAGTTTTGGTCACCACGATGTAAAACAGATGTTGAGACTCTGGAAAGAGGGCAGAGAAGAGCAACAAGGATGATTAGGGGACTGGAGGCTAAAACATAGAAGGAAAGGCTGCTGGAATTGGGTATGTCTAGTTTAATAAAGAGAAGGACAAGGGGGGACAGGATAGCAGCCTTCCAGTATCTCAAGGGCTGCCCCAAAGAAGAGGGAGTCAAGCTCTTCTCCAAAGCACCTGAAGGCAGGACAAGAAGCAACGGATGGAAACTAACCAAGGAGAGAAGCAACCTAGAACTAAGGAAAAACTTCCTGACAGTTAGAACAATTAACCAGTGGAACAACCTGCCTCCAGAAGTGGTGCATGCTCCCAACACTGGAGGTTTTTAAGAAGAGCCTGGACAGCCACTTGTCTGAAATGGTATATAGGGTTTCCTGCCTGAGCAGGGGGTTGGACTTTATTATTATTAACAACCTGCCTCCATACGTTGTGAATGTTCCAACACTGGAAGTTTTTAAGAAGAGACTGGACAAGCCTTTGTCTGAAATGGTATATAGGGTTTCCTGCCTGAGCAGGGGGTTGGACTAGATGACCTCCAAGGTCCCTTCCAACATTATTATTATTATTATTATTATTATTATTATTATTATTATTATTATTATTATTACTATTATCAGACTAAAAACGAAGACGGTGCTACGGAAGTAATGCAGAAGATCTTCCTTCCTTTTTTTTTTTTAATCCCACGAGGTTTAAACTTATGAATTAATGCAAAACAAAAACATACGGATAGTTCTACATTCCTTGCTAATTTAAAGGTCCCGTGCATTTTGCCTTTACATTCTTTTCATTGCATTGCAAATAAAATTAAATAACCGTGTTCTATTCCCTAAAACCAGGGGTCCCCAACCTATGGTCTGTGGCCTGTCGGTCACCAGGCCACTAGCTGCCCCATTTGAAGAGCAACTAAGATGATTAAAGGCCTGGAGACTAAAACATATGAAGAACGGATGCAGGATTTGGGTTTGGCTAGTCTAGAGAAAAGACATGATAGCAGTCTTCTGATATTTGAGGGACTGCCACAAACAAGAGGGGGTCAACTTATTCTCCAAAGCCCCTGAAGAAGGCAGGACAAGAAGCAACAGATGGAAACTGATCAAGGAGAGAAGCAACCTGGAACTAAGGAGAAACTTCCTAACAGCGAGAACAATTAACCAGTGGAACAGCCTGCCACCAGAAGTTGTGGGTGCTTCATCGCTAGAGGTTTTTAAGAGGAGACTGGACAGCCACTTTTCTTAAATTGTGTAGGGGGTTGGGCTAGAAGACCTCCATGGACCCGCCCCGCTCTATTCTGATTAATTGATTGAAATGTTGACCTAGGTCAGTGTTTCCCAAGCTTGACAATTTTAAGGCATGTGGACTTAAACTCCCAGAATTCCACAGCCAGCAACGCTGGCTGTGGAATTCTGGGAGTTGAAGTCCTCATGCCTTAAAATTGTCAAGTTTGGGAAACACTGACCTAGATCATCTCCAGAGTCCTTTCCAATCCTTACCGTCTATAAATCTACGGCTCCATAATTCCCAGCACTGTTTTGGCATCGTAGTTGGTGGGTCCAACACACCCCGTTGAGTAAAACTAGTCTTGCACTATCCACAGGCCAAGAATTGGACGCTGGCGGTTCTCTACTTTGCAGCCTTCCACCTCTTTGATCAAGCAATTTCCACTTTTATTCCCCAATAAAAGGAGAAGGAAGTCAAAGGGAGACAAGGAAGAGTCCTGGGTGCAGAGAGGGGAAAAAAAAAAGATATTTTTGTTGTAGATCCAATGGAGAAGTTTTGCTCCTAATAGATGCTACTCGGTTGATGGCCAAGCTAATTTGTGACATCAGCGGCATCAGCATGAGGTCACAACTTGCTGTCCCTCAGGTTAGTGGGCCTCACAAGGCCACAAATGTTTGGTTGTCAACAGCTGGGGAGAGGGTCACCAACCGGGGAAACATCTGGGAGAAGGAATGAAGAAGGAATGAACTGGAGCAGAAGGGCAGCCCCTAAGGACAAATATGGACCGT